CCCCTTCACTTACTTCTCCCCCCCTCCTCACCTCTCCCTTGCCCTCCCCTGTAGCGTGGCCGAGCTGCTTGCTGGTCCGCGGTGCCGGCCGGACTGATAGGAAGGTGCACACTGAGTGTGCACTTCCTGTCAGTCCGGCCAGTTACAGGAAACAGAAACTCCGCGCGGAACTGGAGTTTCTGTTTCCTGTAACCGGCCGGACTGACAGGAAGTGCACACTCAGCGTGCGCCTTCCTATCAGTCCGGCCGGGCACCGCGGACCAGCAAGCAGCTCGGCCACGCTACAGGGGAGGGGAGGAGAGGAGCAGCCGCAGCCGCCTGAGGCTCTTAACAGAGTGCTCAGGCGGCTGCAGCATTTAAAGGGCCGGCCCTGCAGCGGCCGGTCCCAACAGATTTTAGGGCGGCCTGGGGGGCAATTGCCTCCCTGCCCCCCGGCCCAGCCCGCCCCTGCCTGGCCCCCACTGGAACCCAGGGAAGCCACCCACACTGCTAGATATTCACAGAAATGCACAATAGCCCTCCCCTCATACAAATAATACGAACAGCCCACAAACAAACATACAAACAATCCTCACAAACGTAACCCGCTAACAATCCACATACATGCAGCCTCTCACATGCAATACCCCAAACAGCCCACACACATACACACACCACCAAACACAATGTGACTTATCCATCCACACACACAATTCCACAAGCAGCCCCCATACACAGCCCACGTTCATATGTATCATACACGATACCACAAACTACTCCTGAACATATACAATATAATAGCTCATATACGCACAAATACAACGATACAAAGCAATTACAGTATAAATAACACAAGCAGAATACGGCAGCATACAGACCTCAATTTAAAAAAAATAGGACCGGCACGCTACGGGACATCACAATCCTATATCGGCACAGTGCTGCTAAAAGGTTGCCTACCCCTGTTCTAGAATCTAGAGTGCTCTAGGTCTCTGTTTACTGACAAGTTACTGTTGAATCTAAGAATGCCTAAATTCCTGAACCTAACGGTCACTGTGGTCTGCTTGTTGTCTCCCTCACCCTAGTAATTGAGGAGTCTCTGCAGCACAGCTACTAGAATAATGAAAGTTGTAAGGGACCATAAGAGCTGCACATCTGTTATTTGCAAGTCATCTGTTATCTGGGGATAAAAGAGTGTTCAAGAGGCAAGACCCAGAGGTGGGGGAGGGAAAACGCCAAAAAGAAAGTATGTGAAGAATGCTGCTCCCTGCAGATGCTTTCACTTAGACTTTTGCAGACATTATGCCCCACTTTAATTAGGGCAAATCATACAAGCTCCTGGTTTCACGTAGAGGACGAGAAAAAGTGACAGTTTCACTTTTGCTCATACCACTACATGCAATTGCAGGTTTTGCTGATGTGACGCAGCCTATGGTGGTGTGATGGAACTATGCACTGGATCGGAAAATTACCAAATAAACTTTATATGATGATAAATTGGGTTGGGTAAATCTGATCCGGATGCTTTTTCGACAATTTGATCTTGGAAATTAGCTCTGTCCAGGAATGTATTAGTTGTCGATATACTTTTGGAGAAAGTTATTTTTTGGGATTACTGTTGTAAGGCACCCTATTGTATGGCAGTTAATACATTAATGTATCCAATTTCCTGCCATAGGTGTAACTCTACCTCCAACAGCGTCATTGGAGGGTCATTAGCCAATGGAGAGTCATTCGGCTGACTCTGTCAATGTTGGGCATATTCCTATTCACTGAATTGCATTAACTGGCACGAATGGCCCGCATGATTAACTTTCATATCTACAGAAGCCAAAGAAAGATTAAGAACCCACAGGGCCCTAGCAGGCCAGTTACCAGTTTGTCCCCCCTCCCTTCATTATTCTTCAAATGGGAATGATTAATGGGGCCAAGCAAATTCATGTTTCTGGGGCCCCTTTATAAATACTGAGCTCTAAACAGTCCTCTAGGGTTGCCTCTTGGTTAATCCTGCTCTGGCAGAAGCTGGATGTAGTCACTAGTCAATGGAGAACCTCGGCACCCGTTGGAGGCCGAGGTAAGAGGAAAGACTATTGCAAAATGGTTTTCCCTATTAATGGGAGATGGAATCAGGGCACTCCTGGCATTGAAATCAGACTAGTGGTTATGATGCTTGGAGTAACCCTTTAAGGCAATGGTTCATTTTTAGTATAATATCTTGGTAGTGTGATGGAATTTAAAAACAATAGATGTGAGAGACTGCTAAAATATTACATTATTATAGTTATTATTGTGTTATGAAATATTTAGTGAATTTCTTTTCCATTTTTCAGACGGCATGTTTGTTTTACAAGGCGCCCATTTCTTAATTGTTGCTCCGTTATAATATTATGTTTATCATTTTTGTACAAGTTAATGTAACTTTTTGATTTTGTTTTCCGAAAAACTTTTTTTCTCTGTGTTTATCTCTTACATGCTGATATTGTGAATAATATAATGCTCTTAAGAACTCCGTAAATATATTATCACTGTCATTGAATATTGATTGTAGATTGTAAACAAATTTAAATAGTTTCTTTGTTCTTTTTTCCCGATACCTAAATATGTTTACTATCTAATAAGTTATGTGTTTTGTGTACCCTTTGTGCATTGCTCTGAAGTCAAGCTCTATTTATGTGGTTCCCAACCCAGTCCCCAGGTACCCCCTAACAGTCCAGTATTTACCGATTACCCAGTTGTATCTAAGGTGTTTTTAGAAAGAATGAAAAAAAAATTTTTTTTAGACACAACAGGGTTATCCCTAAATTCTGGACTGGTGGGGGGTACTTGAGGACTGGGTTGGGAACCCCTCTATTTAAAAATCAAACAAAAAACGAAGTATTCTCTGTGTAAAAGTTTTGAGAATATAGTCAGAGCATTCACATGCTTGTAAACTGAGGGTCCATGTGTTTTTTGTTTTTTTACACAGCAAGTATAACACAGGGGTGGGTGGGGGAGGTTTTTAGCAGAGAGGTTGAGCTAAAGAATCCCAGATATGTTAACGTTGTATTCATTATGTGATCAAACCCCACAGTAAGCTTCCTGAGGATGTAAAGAAGCAGACAGAGAGAGCATCTGAGCTTTGCCACCCAGCAGGAGAGCTAATTCTGGGTAATGTGAATTAACAGAAAGTCTTGTTCTAATAGTGGGATAAATCTGATGCTTGGCATTCTCTGAGTGAGGGGAAACCTGTGCACGTACAACTGTGGGTGAGTACGAATCTGTGTGTAATCTCTGTGAGTAAGTGTGCATTATCTATAATCGGTATGAGTGTAGACGTGCGCTGTGTATGTAGTATGTGTATGTGTGCAAATGTTTGTGTAATGTATGCTTGTGTAAGCACGCATTGTGTGTAATATGTGTTACCGGACAATCGAATGTGTGATCTGTGTGCGTAATAGTGCTGTGTGTATAATTGTTACTGTTTGTAGGTGTGCAAAAATCTAATGTTTGTCTGTAATGATGAAGTGCGTGAGTGTTTAATCTTAATCCGTGCGTTTTAACCTGTCCCGTGTGTGTAAAAATGTACACCAATTTAGATCTGGTACCAAAAAACATGGTCTTTGCATTTCCTGTTTTTTGTTGTTTTGGGGGGTTTATTTTTTTTTGTCCATATCTACAAGTTTAGAATTTATATTCTACAATTTACTCCGTTAAAACACATGCAATCGCATTGTCCATAAAAACTAAGTGCCTATTTTCATGGTGAGCTGTATATGAATATATGGAATTAAGATTTAAGCACTTTGAGAGCCTCTTTGCCTTGCATGCATTTTACTAACCCTGTAAATATAACGCTCAGAACAGGTTCTCAGTGTGGATATTAAAGGAACACTATTGCGTTAGGAATACAAATCTGTATTCCTGACGTTATAGAGCTGCACTATCTATGTAGATTGAGTGCAGCCGCAGAATGAATGACCTCCCTTCCTGTGCTGGTTTTATTGCGGCCACCTTGCCTTTCAGACTGAGATCATCAATCTTGATGATATCAACCAATCCAATGTTTCCCCATAAAAGAAGGATTGTGCGCATGGATTAAAAATCGCAAATTGCACCACTTCGCCGATTAGCATCTCTTCATAGAATTATGGTATCTCTTTGTGGAGCTTTCAGTAACTCCATGCAGAGTGTGGAGACACTGAACAATAGGTCCTGCAATCCTTCTCGCCAAGGAAGCCCCTCTAGTGGCTGTCCGAGTGATAGCAACTAGAGATGGACATAGGCAGCAAAGTAAAAACTCTTTTTTCTCAGAAAAAGCAGCGTTTTCACTGCTGAGCCTGCAGTGATTAAGCTTAAAGGGACACTATAGTCACCTGAACAACTTTAGCTTAATGAAGCAGTTTTGGTGTATAGAACATGCCCCTGCAGCCTCACTGCTCAATCCTCTGCCATTTAGGAGTTAAATCCCTTTGTTTATGAACCCTAGTCACACCTCCCTGCATGTGACTTGCACAGCCTTCCATAAACACTTCCTGTAAAGAGAGCCCTATTTAGGCTTTCTTTATTGCAAGTTCTGTTTAATTAAGATTTTCTTATCCCCTGCTATGTTAATAGCTTGCTAGACCCTGCAAGAGCCTCTTGTATGTGATTAAAGTTCAATTTAGAGATTGAGATGCAATTATTTAAGGTAAATTACATCTGTTTGAAAGTGAAACCAGTTTTTTTTTTCATGCAAGCTCTGTCAATCATAGCCAGGGGAGGTGTGGCTAGGGCTGCATAAACAGAAACAAAGTGATTTAACTCCTAAATGACAGTGTAATGAGCATTGAAATTGCAGGGGAATGATCTATACACTAAAACTGCTTTATTTAGCTAAAGTAATTTAGGTGACTATAGTGTTCCTTTAACCACTAGCTAAGATTTAGTGTTTCTGGTGACTATAGTTTCCCTTTAATATGGGTACACAGGTAATTTCTGGTGCAGTCCAGGATGTGGGTTATGTATTTTGCCTAGCAGAACATCACAAAAACACAGTTATTATTATTATTGTTGCCATTTATATAGCGCCAACAGATTCCGTAGCACTTTACACTATTATAAGAGGAAGGATTTAACTATAAATAGGACAATTACAAGAAAACTTACAGGAATGATAGGTTGAAGAGGACCCTGCTCAAACGAGCTTACAGTCTACAGTTCTACAATTTTACATCAGATAAAGGACCACTATAGGCACCCAGACCACTTCAGCCTAATGAAGTGGTCTGGGTGCCAGGTCCATCTAGGATTAACCCTGCCTGCTGTAAACATAGCAGTTTTGAGAATGCTTTCCTGTGGACTGGCTGAATGCGCACACCCGATGACGGGGAAAGGAGGCTGCGAATCCCCCATCGCCGAGGGAGCCCGGCGGTGAAGAAAAGGTATGTGTTTAACCCTTTCCTCACCCTAGAGCCTGGCGGGAGGGGGGCCATGAGGGTGAAGGGGACCCAAGGACCCTATAGAGCCAGGAAAACGAGTATGTTTTCCTGGCACTATAGTGGTCCTTTAAGGCGATTGCATTGGGCCCTTATACTATTTTTATGTGATTTATGTCTGGCAGTAATTTTTATCAAGAAATCATCGTCTTTTGCATGAAAGATAAAAGGACAATACACAGGAAAGATCATGGTCACATTTTTCAAGGATTATAAAAAATTTTACTGAAAAAAGTAAGTATTCAACTTGTGTATGTTTTCCCCCCCACAAACATTGCTCTTTAATAGCTGATCTAAACAAGCCTATGTGTAAGGAATACAGGAATGTCATTTTGTAAGTGTGACATGAGGATAGAATTGTGTCTGTACAGCGCTACGGAATATGCTGGCACAATAAATAATAATAATACGTGATAAAGATCTTAATCCCTTAAGGACCAAACTTCTGGAATAAAAGGGAATTATGACATGTCACACATGTCATGTGTCCTTAAGGGGTTAATCTACTTGTATTTATTAATACATGTCATATGTGTGTGTATATGTCATAATTTTGTCATAGTAGCATTGCGATAGTCATATATAGCAAGCTTGATTAATACAGGAAGTAAAAAAAATCTTTCCAGTGAATTTTCATATTCATGCAAAGTCACATGAGATAAAAGTGATAAAACTCAGGATATCAGCCGCCCCCACGCTGTATTCATTTTCATGAAGATTAAACGGTTTTATCCACTAAAGAGTAAGTCCTGGTGTGGTGACAAAACGGAGTTACAAAATATTGTTCTGGGGTCAGTGGATGTATGTAGTGTGCAGTGGCTGTATGTAAGGTGTGTGTGGTCGGTGCTGGATGTATGTAATATATGTAGTGTTTTCTAGCTGCATATAATGTTTGCAGTGTGTGTCCTTTTTTCAGTTTGTGTCCTGCAGTTGAGGATCCAAGGTGGCACTGCAAGGGTCCTATAGTTGAAATACATTTTTAGTTAATTATTTTTGGGGGTTTAGTGCTATGAACCTGGCAAGTGTGAAAATTGATGAACAAGTTGCTGAAATGAGTGATGGTTGGAGGATAGGCTTGCATCCATTGTTTTAAGATTATTTTTCTGATTTAGTGATGTAATGTTGAAAAGATTACTATTTCCATATGCTGGTATGGTTTTCTCCATCAATGATTTTATATGTACAGCGCGCCTGTGGACTTAAAGGGACACAGAAGGCACTCAGACCATCATCTCAATGCCCCTATCACTTTAAACAATGGTGTTTAGTAGATATTGCAATGTTTTTACTGCATGGAAAGAGTTCAGAGAAGGGCTACTAAACTGGTTCATGGATTGCGGGCTAAAGCTTACAAGGAAAGGTTAAAGGATCTTAACATGTATAGCTTGGAGGAAAGACGAGACAGGGGGGATATGATAGAAACATTTAAATATATAAAGGGAATCAACACAGTAAAGGAGGAGACTATATTTAAAAGAAGAAAAACTACCACAACAAGAGGACATAGTCTTAAATTAGAGGGACAAAGGTTTAAAAATAATATCAGGAAGTATTACTTTACTGAGAGGGTAGTGGATGCATGGAATAGCCTTCCAGCTGAAGTGGTAGAGGTTAACACAGTAAAGGAGTTTAAGCATGCGTGGGATAGGCATAAGGCTATCCTAACTATAAGATAAGGCTAGGGACTAATGAAAGTATTTAGAAAATTGGGCAGACTAGATGGGCCGAATGGTTCTTATCTGCCGTCACATTCTATGTTTTTAAAACCACCTCTGCATGTGGCAGCAGTGAGTTTCTGCTCTGGAACAAATGTAATTAAAAACCTTTTATTTTCAATTAACTGGGGTGCAGGGGAGACAACCAACTAGTGAAGAAAACACTATAGCGTTAGGAATACGTTTGTATCGTTAATGCTATAGCATTCGTTTGGTACACATTTGTTGATACTGCATTTATTTTTATATCTATATATTGTAGCTAAGGTTTTGATGTTGTGCCATATGGTGGCAGCGAACACCTAAACTTACATGTATGTATGGCCTTTACCACTCTATTCCTTGTTCCTTTTTTATTGCCAATGATATCAAAGGTCAGTGTTTTGGGAAAGGTGTAACAGAATCATGTGTATGATTGATGTATGTAATTGTAAATCTGTGATACGATCTGTGAAGACAGAGCGATATCCTATCAAGTCTACTGAACATATAATAGGTCTTCACTCGGGTGGGTGCAGACCTCCAAAATAGCTACCCTGCAGTTCCATCTCTCAGTCGGTGCATGCTTCGCTCTAACTCACTAAAAAGCAACGGACTGCAAAGGCGCAAATACTGAGATGCTCACATGCCGGCCATACAGCACCGGTACTGTCCTTCCTATAACAGCAGCCATGACACTTGTCTGCAGCAGGACTAAAGGCCAAAATAAACTGCCTGCCTGTGCTTGGAACTACAAGTCCTGGGCATCGTGTGATACAAATTCCACTTCCCTGAATAGTGAATTGAAAACAAAAACTATAAAAATTAGGTAAAAATTGCTGATTTAGAAAAAATCTCCACCTAAACTATAGTCACAGCTTGACTGTTTAAGTAGAAATTTTCAATGTGTTTTTCGGTTGACCTTAATTTATAGTATGGTAGTGAGTTAACCGCCTTGTGACTATTTTTTCAAAGATTTAGAGGGTAGAAGAATTTTGATTAACAATGTGATATGTCTGCAAAACAAAAGCCTTTGCCCTACTTCTTGACGGTATGACGTAATGTTATATTATTAAGATCTTTAGTTCCTCTAACTCCCTCCATTCTCATCTGTCACATCCAGTTTGCTCACTATAGACTGTTGGAAAGACGTCCCATGTACTAGTGAAAATGATTTATTCACTAAACACAGAATTCTAGTGAATTGAAAACCAAAAGGCAAAAATTCTCCAACTCAGCTATACCAGAGCTTGGCTGATTTTACATTTTATTTCCCCACCTAGCTTAGAGTGTCTCTCTGCTAGTAACAGGCAGCTTGTGGTCTACATCTCCAGCGGGTGGAAACCATTATATGTCGATTCATGCCCCCCTCCAGGTCCAATGGTACCAAGAGGGAGGGGAGCATTAAGTAAATACCATATTTTTTTTTTATTAAAGAAATCTAAGAAGACAGAAAGTCTCCTAACCTAGGCTTCAATTAAATTTGAAAATTATTGAATGGATTGGGCTGATATTTTTTAATCAACTTTCGACTGGTTTTAATGTTAGTCTGAATTCTATCAGACACCTTTTTTACCGACAGAATTAAATCAAAGCCTTGGTTTGGTTTATTGATAATTTGGTATCTGTAGTGTCCTGCTTAATATGTAGCAATATAAGTAGCTTAGTGATTGGTGTAATGTAAGCGGCTGGTGAGGAATCTCCCTTCAGCAGATGTAACTCTTGTTACCTAGATACTACTCTTATTAATTCTAATAACATTGTATGGTTATTATTAATAATGTAGGATAGTTGTTACTTCTTTGCGACTTAGGGGTATCCCTTAACCACTGTTAGTTAAAACTACAAAAATACCTAGCTGATACACTTAAAGGGTACCTGTCATGCCCTAACCTACTTTAGCAGTTTTTTTTTTGTTTTTTTAAAAGCATGACATTTCATTTTAAAGGATCACTATAGTGTCAGGAAAACAAAGCGGTTTTCCTGACACTATAGTGCCCTGAGGGTGCCCCCACCCTCAGGGTCCCCCTTCAGCCACTTACCTTAATCCAGCTCTCATTGGGACATGTTGTGCATGCATGGAAATAGCTGCGCTCCACCAACAATGCTTCTTATTGAAACAAGTGGTTCTGTAGAGAAGTACTCCTAAATTAGAGTCTCGCTATCACCTAGACTGACAGTAGGTTTTACAATTAATGGTACAATCATAAAAGTACATTTTTTTCTTGAAATTGGCTCTTTAGAAATAATTCTGCACGGACATTCAGTTAAAGGATCACTATAGTGTCAGAAAAACAAACACTTTTTTCTGACACTATAGTGCCCTCACCCTTCAGCCACTTACCTTAATCCAGCACCGGGCTCCCTCAGAGCTGGTGACCTCTCCTCCCCCGTCTGACGTCAGCGGAGCCGAATACGCATGAGCAGCAAGTGCCGCGCGCACATTCAAAGTGTCCATAGGAAAGCATTTCTCAATGCTTTCCTATGGACGCTCTGCGCGATGGAGGTGAAATGTGCCTCCAGCATAGCAGATGCGCCTCTGGTGGCTGTTTGGAAGACAGCCACTAGAGGCTGGATTAACCCCAAATGTAAACATAGCAGTTTCTTGGAAACTGCTATGTTTGCATCTGAAAGGTTAAAACCTGAGGGACCTGGCACCCAGACCAGTTTATTGAGCTGAAGTGGTCTGGGTGACTATAGTGTCCCTTTAACATTGTGCTAGCAGTTTTGCTAGCAAAGATATAGATTGGGAGACAAACCTGTTTAAGAAATAGGTTTTTCTCCCACCTATAAATCAATTCTTTGGCATAGACTTAATGTTGAGGAATTGATTTATAAAGGAGAGCAGAAGAGACCTCCCACAGGTGGTCCTTCTGCTATCTGTCCATAGCAACCACAGCACATGCACTGTGGTTGCCATGCTAACTCCATATCTGGTGTTAACCTGCTAGTGCCGGCCAGGGAGTTTAGAAGTCACTCTGTTCAGACACTGGCATGCTGTAAATATAGCCATAGTGTCAACGTCATGAGGGAGGTTTGCCCTGTTTGGATAAGTGTCCCCAGGCATGGCAAATTAGTGAAGAGAGCCGGAGGGGCATGGGCAGACTGTCGGTGGGTGTTACAGAAGTTTAGAATCTGTAATAAGATTGCAGCTGGGGAGAGGAAGCTGAGGTAAGTGGTGGTAGGTAATGGAGGTTGAGGTAAGTGGTGGTGTTGGTGGTAGGTAATGGAGGTTGACTTAAGTGGTGGTGGTAGGTCATGGAGGTTGAGGAAAGTGGTGGTGGTAACAAGAGTAACAAGTTCTGTATAAGAAGTTCTATCCTTTGTGGCTGAGAGTTCTATGGGCAATGTTTAATAAGGCCCCTTTTGGAGACAGGTGGGGGATCACTCATTTAGTACATTGAAAGCCAATGTATTTTATTAATTTTTCTTTGTAAAGTACAGAATACAAGGCATCAAGTTATAATAATGACAACCAGAAATTGAGCATGCCATAGATATAGTGTGGTAGGAAAAACATAACTAATAAAAAAAAAACATTGCAATATTAAGAACACATATATCGTGGCTTGGTAGCACCGACTAGTTACTCATCCAGAAAACAATAGATGCGAGAGACACATCTCTATTTACTATTTTTAATATAGACCTGTCATACGCAGGAGTTTAAGATGTTGCGGTTGGGGGGTGCTTTCAGAAAACATATATTTTGTTTCATTGTGAGTGTATGTTGAATCACTAGGTTAGGAAACTTTCTATATTATAAATCACTAATTTGTATTAACTCTTTCCTTCTTTGAGTTCGTACAAATGAGTGGGTTATGACGAGGACAGTCCTAGTGCTTTCTCACTGGCAAGAGGTTACTGGACTAATGCACCACAGACAACCTGTATTCAACACTTCCATACATATGTAAATCCATAGATAGACCTTATACATACACAACACTTTTACTGCACACCATGAGATCCTCCCATTGGACCCCCAGGTAACTGCATCACAGGACCCATTGGGCCACCAGCCAGGCTCTGACTTATTGGGTCATCAGGAAGGTGGACTCAGACCCCACCTGATCACCAGGGAATTGACACTGAGCCACCAAGGAATAGAGAACTTTGCCCCATGTGTAAGCAAGGGTGGATGCAAAAATTGAATTTCTTTAATTATGTATTTTTTTCACTTATTGTAATTTTTTTTAAAGGCTGGAACACACACAGCCTCACCACACTAAACACACATAGCCACATACTATCCTCACAGCTACCCACACATCAACAGACATCCACACACATCTATCACAGCTATTAACAAACAGTCACAAACATCACTCACAAACACCCTCCCACAGCAACACACATCAGCCACACACATAACTCACTGCTACACACGTAGTAACACCATATCACTCACAGTTACAGCACCTGCAGCTACACAACACGTAGTAACAAGATATCACTCAGAGTTACAGCACCTACAGCTACAGTATAAGTTGAAGTGATGTGAATGCTGTGCATGCCTATACACAAACAGCCAGGCATGCACAGCATTCACATTCTACCTATAGGTGATTTTTAAAGTTTTATTAAATGGTATAATGTCCCATTTAAAGTAAAGTAGCAAGTTAAACCACAGTTTTCTAGTGTCACTACCAGTGTCTGCTTTTCCACGCATTGACATTCAGTTAATGGAAAGAATGGAAATTTACTTGATCAGTCAAAAGTGATACAAGTTACATTATGTGTAGTTTCCACTTATGTATTTTTGTTGACCTTCTCTGGGGACCCCTCCCATACATTAAATTAAACCATTAACAGGCATTGTACCCGCTGAACAACTGTTAAGTAGATCCATGCTCATTAACGTAATATATTACACGTTAGGCTAGGAACATACCCCTTTCTCTTGCTGCTGGTCAGTACATGAAAACTGCTGCCCTGCGGAATTAATTTGCTGCAGAAGGGGAGTCAGTTAGAGCCTGCTGTAGTGGTTAGAATCCAGAAGCACCCTGGCCCTGTTCCCTGATAAATGGGCAAACCGTTTAGCTATGGTTTGCCCGCTTACCTGGGTCATGCTGGGTTCTGTGTCTATTTATGACCTCTGGCTTCTGCAGAGCGGACCTCTCTCAGCCAATAACTGACATTCTGTGCAATGAAAGAATTGATACTAGCCCGCATAGAACTGTTGTTCTAGGCTGGCTAATGACTCCACAATAGCTTGCCGGAGGTGGAGGTACACCACCATCAGTGGATGGTTCAAACTCCATATAGGCAGCATTGCGTAACTTCACATACAGACTCCTGGCACCATGACCACTTCAAATCCCTGAAACGATCGTAAAGAGCTTAGAGTAACTCTTTAATCTCTCCTTGGCTGATTCATTTATATTCTCTTCTGCAACAGTGCGATTCAGCATGCTGACAGAAAGCATATTTCCTGTCCTGCCCAACAGCACGGTGAGGCGCTAACATTTCAGGATGACGAGGTGGGCCAGGTGTCAATTAAAATGACTTGCTAGATGTGTGTTTCTTCAACTAGAAGTATGCATATGTGTTTTCTTGTTTTTATGAGCACTCGTGTGAAAACCAACATGCAGCTGTAAAAATACAAAATATATTGTCTGTTAAAGCAAACCACAGCTTGAATTTAACATCTAGGGTGCCATGTAGGGGGTGGTGTGAACAATATATGCTCCCTGGTGTTAAGAAGGGGGGGGGAGGGGTTTGAAGAGGTGTGGAATAAATTTATATAAATTGATCCCAGTGAACAGGAGAATTTGTAATGTTTTTTTGTTCTATATAGTTAACAATGATGTGTTTGTTTGGTCTGAAAAATTAAATTGAAGAATCACTATAGGGTCAGGAACACAAACATGTATTCCTGACCCTCCTCTTCCTAACGTCAGACGGTGGGCGAGACATCCTGCCCGCCGGCTGAGGAGACCTAATGCGCATGCTATGGAGCAGGAAGTGCCCCCTAGTGGCTGTTTAGTAGACAGCCACTAGGGGAGGACTTAACCCTGCAAGGTAATTATTGAAGTTTATAAAAAACTGCAATAATTACACTTGCAGGGTTAAGGGTAGTGTGAGTTGGCACCCAGACCACTCCAATGGGCAGAAGTGGTCTGGGTGCCTACAGTGTCCCTTTAACCCACCATTTAGGTGGCTTGCTCCCCCTGAGCCCCCCTATTGAAGTTTAAAACTCACCTTATTTCCAGCGCTGTGTGGGTCTGCCGGTGCTGGTTCCGCCCCCTTCGTGACATCATCAAAATGGCCAATTTTTTGCCAATCCAATGCTTTCCTACAGGAAAGCAGTGGATTGGCTAAAATTGGCACGGGGCCAAATGCCGTTGAATCAATGCATCTCTATGAGAAAAATTCAGCGTCTCCATGCAGAGGGTGGGGATCCTGAACGGCAGGGCTGCCTACTGTGCAGCCCTGAGCCAGGCAGCACCTCCAGTGGCCATCTAAAGGCAGTGTGTACATGAAAATGCCTGAAGGGAACCATTATACTCACCAGAACAACTACATTAAGCAGTATTTAGCCATATCCTTGAACGGAGTACCTCCACCTTCTCTCCCTTTTGATTATTGTTATAAACTCTACCATTTTCTGCCATTGAACATTGAAAGTAGAATAGAAGCAATGGAGGATATGTATAAAAGCCCGCGTGTTTTAAAAAATGGTTCAAAGATGTAAAAGGGGTAGTCACCCATGGAATGTGTCAGCTGGTTCCACTAGTTCCCATGGTGACTGCCCACTTTGGTACTTGATACCACTTCCGAAACATGACACTTTTTAGGAATAACCCAATCAAATTTTCATTCTCATTTGCAATGTTTGCCCATGCTGTACATGACAATTTTTACTGACATCACAAATTTGATTGTGATGTCACTAAACATTTAATATGAATTTTACAGTGCTACGGAATTTGCTGGCGCTATATAAATAAAATAATAATGAAAGAAAAAAGTGCTTCCTGTGAAAAAAAGTTAACGCAAGTTAAAGGTACAGAAACACTACAACTTTAGCTCTTTAAAAAAGAGAATTAAAATAAATTTATACATTGTGTTATATTTCTTATAGTTAAATTTCTACAGACTGGGAGAAAAACAGATTTATTAATATTTTTTTCTCCAACCTGACAATGCGTTCTTTGGCATTCCCTCTATGCCGAAGAACTGAGCAGTAGAGACCTCACACAGAAAGACCTTCTGCCGTCCAAGCATAGCAACCACGCTCTTGTGCTGTGGTTGCCATGGAAACCTCCTAGTGAGTGCCGCTACCGCTGTCTAGGTAGTATAGGAACAGTAACATAAGTCGGCATGCTGGCAATGAAGTGCTCCCAAGAGGGGCAAATCAGTGAACAACAGAGGAGGAGCGCAGAGGGACTGGAGGTGGGTGATAAAGAAGTGTAAAACCCACCTCTCTAATGAGATTGCAGTGGCAGAGCAGAGGCCAAGGTAAGTGGTTACAGGATCCCTTTAATGTGGTGGTTCTTGTACAAAGAACCTGTCCCTGCAGGCTGACAATTGTAAGCACTCCCTTTTCTGAGAAAAGGCAATGTTCATATTTGTCCCTAAGGCAACCTTTAGTGGCGATCTCTCAGACAATATCTCTATAGACATGCATCTCTATAAGGAGATGCTGATTGGTGCAATGTGGCAATTGCTGTGCATGCATACTAGCACCCACTGATTTCTATTAAGGAAGTATTGGATTGGTTGAGATCATCAGCGCACCAGGGAACCAAAGTTGAGTAAAAATTATTTTTTTAACTTTTTTTTTTTTTAAATAGAAAGGAAAAAACTTTATAATTAGGAATACATGAGATTGTATTCCTAACTTTGGAGTGTCCCATTTAAAGGTGATTTTCAATGTTTTATTCAATTTGGTAATTTTTTAAATTATTTTCTTCACTCACAGATAAATAGGATCATTACAAAATATCATAGTAGTATGCCTTTAATTACTGAGGGGTGCCATTTTTCAGCACACTGTGACTAATGTTCACAGACACTTTTTAAGGTGTGAACAAGCTCAGTTTGTCACAAGCATTTGCCTTCCAGTAACGGAGGGGAGGGGGTTACATACTTCACTTACAATTTTTTATTTTTTTTTTACTTAAGTGAGACATCAAAATTAATTTCAGATTTAAGAGTAGCTGAGTGGGAAGCAAAACTGGCTTTTTCCACTTTGGCTACGTTGACCTTAAATTTGAAACTCACTTTGAATTCACTGTGTGTTTTTAACGTTAATTGACCCTGCAAGTCATATAATTATAATACATTAATTGATTGAAATAAAGACTTTCAGTTATATTTTTTAATGCAGGTTTCTCATCTGAAGAACAATGGCTACGAACTGCAATCACTCCTTCTCGGACATCCAGATAAACTACCTGGGACCGGTGTACGGGGTGGAGTTTGTATTGGCTCTGTTAGGGAATGGCTTTGCAATCTGGCTCCTTGGAGTGTCAAAGGATCGTCATGCAGGCATCATCTTTTCTCTCAATCTGGCAGTAAGCGACCTCTTGTACGCCTTGTCATTGCCTCTACTAGTGGCCTATTACGTAATGAAGAAGAACTGGACTTTTGGTGCTGCATTGTGCAAGATTGAACGTTTTCTTTTCAACTGTAACCTCTACGGCAGCATATTTTTCATCACTTGTATAAGTGCTAACCGCTGTTTGGGGATTGTGTACCCATTCTATGCCAGGGGGAGGGTTGAGAGCAAACATGCAAAGTTTGTTTCTTTGGGTGTGTGGATCCTGGTAGCAAGCATCTCTTCTCCAGTTTTTTTCTTCTCGGAATTGGAGGCCACCTCAAATGGGCAGGAGTGCATAGGAACAGCTCGGAGCATCAATCTGAGCTCTTACATGCCATATAGCCTTTTTCTGGCTGGGTTTGGTTGTGTACTTCCGTTTCTTATTACGTTACTGTCCTACATTGGAATTGCACGTGCGGTGTGGAAGAGCCACAGCTTAGAATCACGGGAGAAGATGAAAGTCATCTATATGGTGTGTATAGTCATTGCTCTTTATTCCATCTCCTTTCTACCATATCACATTCTGAGAAACCTCAACCTGTACAACCGAATGAGCAAGCCAGATTGCCTGTGGTCTCGGCGTATTCATTCGGCTTTTCAGTTGACCAGAGCTCTTGTGGCCTTGAACCCTTGTATCCATCCACTATTGTATACTGCTGTGATGAACAATGTCAGAGAACGGTTGGGATGCTGCCAGAAAAACGAAATATCCAAATCAGAGGAAGACTGCCATCTCTAAGCTTTACTTTACTTTGGGCACTTGGATTGGCTAAAGTCTTTATTTAGCTGGACTTAAAAAGTCCATGGATGGTACATGGAATGAAGGGGGAAAAAAAATATGTGTGAGAAAGTGATCAAGAAGTAACAGGTGCAGGAGAAAAAAAATGTTTTGTACATTTATGTAGGTGATTTAAACATGAGCAGTTACAACACAGAGGAAAATAACAATTTAAACCTAGTTAGAAACACTGTTAGTACATAGGCCAAATACACAGAAAACATGAGATATAAACATATGGAGCTTAATCTGCCACAGCTAATAATCATCTCATTTTGATAAATCGTAAGTGAAATTGTGATTAACCTTCTAAAATGGTATGTACAAATGTTGGAAGGACACCCACCCAATTTATGCAACACAGAAAAAAAAAAATCCTTCATGCTTTGGTGACTCCCAGTGACTCTTTGGTGACAGATTACAGTGGGTTGGCAATTCCAGTCATTTGCTGCTGGCTCTGCCTCTTTGGCTGACATCACTAGAAGTGATTATCTCAGCCAATCACAATGCAAAGGAGGTGGGGCAGAGCGAATGCCACCCTAGCCAATCAGCATGTCCGCATAGATATGCATTGAATCAATGCATCTCTTTGAGGAATGTTTAGTGTATCCATGCAGACAACTACCAGACATGCAAGTCACGTACCAGAGTATTTTTTTGGAATACAAAAAGGAAAACCATTGCAAGGGCTGTTTCTGTAAAATCCCTTACGAATGGAGAAAACCCCTTAATGTATTGATGTTTCTCTCTGGTTTGATGGTTGTAATAAGCACACATTGATCAGAGCCATTGGCACACAGTAAGGGGTTCAAAATGTAAACTAATTTTTCTTCTCATTTATAAGTGTGTTTTAGCATATTAAAATTAAATAATGTGTCACCACGTTAATGTTATGTATACAATTTGTGTCCATTCTTTTTATTAAATGTGTATATATTTAAATGCCGTCACAGATAAGGTAGACTGTGTTAGAGCGTGCAGTAAATATCTGAACGATTTTTAGCTTTCAAAGTTCTAAAAGAAAACATCAAATCAATTTTATTTTTCCACTGTTTTGTAGATATATCCCCAAAGAATGTTTTCTTTTTTTGGGGGGGTTGTATGTAAAATCAGCTTGGAAAAGTTACAGATCCAATATCTGAAAAAATGTGCTGGAGATAGAAAGAGGGAAGCGCGTGCAGTGGCTGCAATCTGTGACAGCAGATTGATAAGAGGCCCACAATCAAGAAATCTCTGTGCTGGAGCCACACTTCAGTGCAGCCTTCTATTGTTTACGACTCCAGTCAATAGAAGCACTTTGTGTGTCTTGGGTGTTCCTTTAAACTAGGAAATACACATATTAAGACAAAATACTTAAAGGAACATTGTAGGATCAGGAACACAAACATGTATTCCCAACACTATAGTGTTAAAACCACTATCAAATGCCCCCGATTCCCCTCTAAATATATTAAAATCTTACTTGTATTCAAGACTGCATCTGACATCAGAAGTGGTGTTCTGACACATTCACAATTGAATCAATGCATCTATGAGTAAAGTTCAGTGTCTTCATGCAGACGGTGGAGACACTGAATGTCAGTCACAGTGTGCAGCAATGCCCCAGGAAGCACATCTAGCAGCCATCTGAGGAGGGGCCAGTGGAGGTAACACTAGGCTGTAATGTAAACACTGCATTTTCTCGGAAAAGACCGCATTTAATGCAAAAAGCCTGAAGAAGGGGATGATTATACTCACCGGAAACAAATACAATAAGCTGTAGTTGTTCCGGTGACTATAGTGTCCCTTTAAAGGGGAAATAAAATTTTAGACCTGATATAGTTGATCTGGAAAGTAACAATTTTAAGTTCTCTTGTTGATGCCACAATTCTCAGGATAGTACATAAATCTGTACAATTTGAGGACACGTGTATAGAGTAAGAATGTCCAATAATAAAATTAAAAAAACCCATCCAAGCCATTACAATATGCTTATAAATACCTAGTCCCTAAAGCATGCACGTGCCCATTAGAGTTGGGAAATAACCCTCTTTCCAGCTAACTGGCTCAGTTATACAATTTAATAGTGCATCTTGAGTGTGGCAGCCACATACTTTCCTGGGATATTCTCATGAAATGACAGCCTCTTCCCATAACTGAGCTCTGTAAAGCTGAGATTTCCTCCTATTGTCTGTGCCGTGTGAATATTGTTCCTGCAGGTCTTTTGACATCCTTTCACTTAAGTGTCGGAGCAAGATTTCTTGAATGATAAAAAGGAACTTGACACGTGACCAGATTTTACCATAAAATGTAATGACCCATTAGCATGCATATCAGATCTACAATTTTAGAAATTAAATACTGGAATGTGCTTCAATAAACCTGCCTTGGATATTATTCAATTCCGTGTCCGGTCCTTACTGTGTTGGAATTCAAAGCAATCAATCTACGAAACATTAGTTTTGATGAATTTACGCCCCAAACTAAATCAGATCTCATTAGCGGTGTCTCTTTCTGAAATTTCCATATCAACAGTTGGAGAAAGAAATCAAAAGGTGCAGCAGCAGTCAACCTCTGGCACTCCAGATGTTGTGGACTACCTTATCCCCCGATGCTTTGCTAGCGTTATGGCTGCAAGAGCATTATGGGAGATGTAGTCTACAACATCTGGAATCCTGAAAGGTGCCTGTCCCTGCCAGTGTAGTAAGCCATCTTTTGATCCTTTGGAAACGAGAACCTGCTGTAGTACAGGTCTTACATCGGTGCGACATTACTGTAGCAGTGATAGAAAAGGAAAAAAACTAAAATCTTAACCAGATCATTCCCAAAGCAGAACAGTAAAATTAAGGTTTGGTGGAAACACTTTCTATTGGTTCCCAAGTTGACAGATAAACTTTGTCAGCTTTTAAATCGATAACTCTTTACCCCAATCATTTGGGTGCACAACTACTAAACTTGATATACACACAAAACTGCTTTAGTTGTTATTCAAAAAATAAATAGAAATAAAAAACAAAACAAAAACAAAACAAAACAGAATTTGGTCTTCAAATTATTTTATTAAGGGAGATTCCCAGCAGGTGACAAATGGATCTTCTACTAGTAAACAGCAGCTCCCAACTCAATTGGTTGATGGTCTGTGGAAAGAAAGAATAGGTTAAGAGAAATAGAATGTAGTTCCAAGCTACGTTTTGTTAAATACACACCGTTCCTTATTTTACTTGAGAAATCCAATAAATTTAAAATACAAAACACTTTAAAAAATACATTCACATTCCGTGTATCATGCATTCACCTACAGGGTTATACACTAAACTGAATTGTAGCAAATAAATAACTGAATGGCAAAGAGCTGATCAGGAAAACTCTGCTACGGACACATCATATTTCTACCATTTGGATTTAACCACCAGCAGTTTAGTAAACAGCCCTTTCAGTATACTAAAGAATTTACTGAAAATATAGGTCCCTTGATTTTATTATAAAACCCCATTAACAAGACTGTGTGATCTGAGAAAAGGCAGATATGGAGCAAACAGGACCCCCCCAACCCCCTCCCAAAAAACATTGCAAGTTGAAAGTTAAGAGCAACACACACACACTAATATATATATTTCTTTGGAGACAGCACCGGAGCATTAAAAGACCGGAAACTTTGAGCGCTGGGACGTATATACTTAATCTTCTGGGTGTATACATATAGAAATTTATAATAAATAAATAAATAACCTTATGCTTGCCCGCCTTATGCCTGCCGCGCACCCGCCTGCCGCGCGCGCCCTTGCCTGCCTGCCACACACACACGGCATGGATAATAGCACAAGGCTTTAAGGGCAATATGTAGGCAGGGCTTACAATTTTAGTTTGTGTAGGCAACTGGAGCATGCCCACAAAGAACATTTAGTAGTAGCAACGATTTGGATACAAGAGTCATTAAACTGGATACCCAATACACACCGAAGCATCTGCAGTGCGACTGTTAGTAACATTGCAGCCAGCCACTAAAAAGGGCACACACAATTGTGGTCCTTACACCTTTGCTACAAATTCACAGGTTCTGCAGGATCTAAAATGTGTGGTTATAAAAAAAAAAACAAAAAAAAAACACCAAAAACTGGCAGTAAACTGTGTTTTACAGGCACGGAAAGAGTTATAAGGGGCTGCTGGTGAATTGCAAGCACAAACACAACGTCCAGAAACCCAAGTAATAAGCATGTGTTACAGTGAAGGGTAACCCCTGCAGGTTTGGAGGGATAAAAACATTATCCTGTTTCATTTTTGCACGATAGCCAAAATGTAACAAAACTTGTACACTGCATTCCTTTACATATAGAAATATAATGTTTATATGAATATAATGAACATTAACATACTTGGCCCATTCTACATTGAGAATCAGATGGTCGTAACCGAACCCAGATACACCAGCAATGGCACGAGCTGCATCCTCTCTACGGTGAAAACTGATAAAAGCGAAGCCCTGAAAAGAAACAATGGGAAAGAAAGTATTATTGCAAAACTCTTGTGCATATACAAGGGTTTTCCTCCATACTACAAGATGACAAAACCCCTCATTACCTTTGACTGGCCAGTTGTCTTATCCTTGGCCAAGTAGATTCGAGAGATAGACCCAAATGGTCTAAAAAGCTCTTGGAGATCAGTTTCCCGGGTATCTTCTGATAAGTTTGTAACACGTATGGTGGCATTATCATCAGCTGCAGAAGGAAAAAGATTGTCAGAGGAAATATACCCAATCACTAAACATTCTTACTGAAAGTATTCATATCCTCAGGACACCAGCACACCGTAAGGGAAGATGTATGCCAAAAAAAAAATAATAATAAATAAATAAAATAACTGCAAACAGGGTGTGAATGTGGAAGACTTAAAAGACAAGTACCAGTGTTACTCTATCAGCACTCTATTTCTCAAAGTATAAATCACAATAAGGTCCACAGCTCAGCAGACAGCATTGTGTTTATTTAGCATTAGTGGCTCTAAAGAATGCACTACAAGAGAAAAAGTACCAAATAATTCTGAATATAGACTGTAACTGATCCTTGAAAGGGATTCATTTTCAAACAGCTAGCATTGCATACATTAGATTAAGAACTTCCAGAGCAAAGAAGGCAAACTACCTTTTTCATGGTCATATTTCACTGGCATTGCATCTCTTGCTGAGTTGTGTTTCAAAGCTGTTGTATGCAGCAGACATATACTCCAAGGAGTCCAGGTATAAAGTGGAATTATGAGGCAAAAATGTGGTTCTTTGTTAACTAATTTGCATACGCCTACCCAGAATCCCTTGCAGTAGTGAGAGCACTGTTAAAGTGAGATTTCTGTGGTAAAAGCAAGTCTTATGGCTTGCCTGGTGTGTGTATTTGTGTCTAACATTTCATTAACTATCCACTTATTTCAGGAGGAAGGGGTTTTTAACCAAACTTTTTCCCCCACCACAACTAAGTTGGTGTGTGTATAATATATACATACACAATATTTTTTTTTTAAACTACTTGTGTTGACTGGCTAGCAATGAAGTTAGTTAGTGTAAAGCTGACTTTGCACACTATGCAAATGCTCTTGCTGCTTCAGTCTCTCTAACACTGTGGCATGTTCCCTTTCTTCTACACTCGCTACATGCACCTCTTCTCTGTCCCATACTGTATAACAGGAGCTTCTGCCTGCTAGTAAGAAGAGGAGCGGACAAGTGAGTGCTAGGGGACAGTCCTTAGAAAGCATGGAGTAAGCGCATCCTTTATGCCAAGTTCATGGTGCTGTCTGCATAGTATGCCCTTAGTTGGCCAGCCTGCATGATTGGCAGGCAGCCTGACATGCATTCACGCCAGGCTGACCCAATTCCTCGGGCAGATTTTTTTGGCCTGTTTGCCCCTTTGGGCGGTTCTGGTTACGTGATTTGTGTCAGTGGCCCACCCTTTTACCCCGCCCACTGCTGTTAGGTGTATGGGTTTACTTGAAAGGTGAAAGCTAGATATTAGCATTGGGTATGTGTTTTCTAAAGCCATATTCTGTGAGTTTCCCTCCAGCATCACCTCCACCAGAAACATGACGATTGGGATGTATAATTGTTTTAGTGTTTGCAAGTGCATCACTATTAACATACAACCTTAAAAAGTTAACTATAGGTTTTGCCAGCTGATATTTTCTTTTACCATTAAAATGTAGACTTGGCTGTCCTGGCATAGTTAGCATATTATGTAAATTAACTTATCATTGGGTGCAGTATAAGTGCATGGCACCATGAGGTTGTCACAACACTGAAGTGCAACAGTGGCAAGCAAACCTCACTACCATCCTCAGCCAAGTAAGCGCTTCAGTAGTGTTTGCAAGGGTAAAGGAATGGATAATTGAGACTTCCAAAGTAATGACAGCTCCTCTTGAAGACAATGTTTTGTCCCTTTTGCACCTTGTCAGCATGGAACTGTCTTAAATTAAAGGTTTGAAATCGGACATCAAATAATTATTTTGATCTTAATAGTGACATGGCACAAAAAGGTTACTCTAAAACCGCAGGTTAATACTACACGCACCTCTCCTATTAGGTTGCATGGACTCTCCTCTCCGGCTCCCTCCATCTCTCAGACTAGGTGGAACATATTTCCCGGTTTTGCTTACAGGAGCTTGGGCTGGTTCAGGTTCTAAAATAATAAACAGAAAAGTTAATGCAATTTCAAGTCTAAAACTTGCCATTTGGCGCATCAGTAGAACAGCAGCTCAAGAACGATCATTTAAAAACATAAAAGTGCAATGAATATCACAGAATGTAAGAGGGAAGTGGAGTAAGCACTGACCTCCTGTTCCAGGAACCTTCTCCTTATCCGCTGTGGACAATCCTAGTTGTTCAGCCAATTCCTTTTGCATTGGTCCCAGTGTGTCCTTGTAGGGACACCTTGTGGTCCAATGGTCACCCTTACAGATTCGACAAGACACAATCTTTTGACCTTTCAGCTTGTTCATTGGATCCTCCTCCTCCTGGCTATTCAGATCCTGTGGGATAAGAAGAACATATTCCATTTTACATGGAGAAGAGTTTTTCGTCAGATAAATTATTTGGTAATTAAATCAGACATGTGAGATGGGTGCAAAGAAAATATCTGCTATTAAGTAGGGTTCAACCCTAAAGGCCCTTTAAATTGTTTTAGTTGGTTTAAGGGTCTCCACCATACATACTTCTTTACTGGTGATGAAGGTCATTAGAACGTCATCGCTGACTGTGGTGGTGGCCACATTGGGCCCAGGAGGATCATATTCGGAATTCCCAAACTTCTTCCAATTCTGGAATGACAGATCAGGATTAAAATGTGTGTTGATAATTACCCTCCATACATTAGATATTAGAGTTGC